TGAATGCAATAATTCTCCAAAGTCTTATGATTAATTTATGTCTTACCTGACTTTTTACTGAATTACTTGGCGGGCCCTCAGGGGTTTGTGCTGCGCGCAATGCTGCAAATAACAGCTCAAATGAAAAAAATGCAAATGATCAGGCTAGATCCAGCATCAAATCCATAGGGACCCCTCAGACACACACACACACACTCATTCACAACCACACATCGACACAGCCATGCAAACAAACTCTGTCTCATGAACTTGCTCTTTTTCTCCCCCTCTTTAACTTTCCCTCTCTCTCTCACTTTCTTTCTCTCGCTCCATCAATCTACTCTGTCACTCTCTCCTTCTTTCTTTCTTACTATGGGGAAAGGAAGCCGGATGAATATCAGCAGGGGTCAGAGAAATACTTGCAGTGAATAACAGAGGCATAATAAACAGAAGCCTTCACTCAAATTATGAGAGCTGCAGTTTCACGCACACTCATACCCAGACGCACACAGAGGCTCAGAAACATACACAGGCTTATACCCACATGCACACAAAGGAATCCAATCAATCAGCAAAGTTGCCTTATCTCCTGCATATGAAAATGGAACTTCAGAAATTAGCTCATTTATTTTGGACAATTAGGGTTATTGAAGTGTGACAGTGAAAATTTAGTGTTCACTGAGGCATACGCTCAACAACAATAGCAGGGAGCCAATTGAGTGCGAGAAGCATTTAAAGCTGTAGTATTTACTTATCAATGTAACTGGCGCTCTGTGTTGATCTCATTAAAACCTCTTCCTCTGTGTTCCTTCGTTTAGACAGGACAGAGAGAGGAGCAGAGACCGGAGCCATCATCCCTGGCACATATGATATTATAGCCTGATCAAAACACTGAAATGAAAAGGAAAGAAACATGCAGAGTTTTGAAAACTAGACCCTTCTGGTGAAATAAAGGCGCTCTGCTGCTTCTTAGAATTCAATTTCTTGTAGCAAAGAGAACTAACTGCTGCTGTGTTCTGTTACTGAGTTCAACAGGGTCGTTTGACTCTCAAATCTGTGATGTTTCTCTGACCAGCCTGTAGAAACTCTAATCATCTAAAACAGCTCAGCCATGTTCGTGGCCAGTTTTATGGCTCTAGGAGGCAATACAATTTTTAAACCATCATGCTATACTGTACAGTCAAACACAGAGATACAATACGGGTACTATTGCATCACCATTGGTGTTTTCCAGGGGTTAAAGTGCATTCTGTACATATAGCTGCTATGTGCCTGTTTTGGAAAAGGACTTTTGTTCTGATGTTTCCTTTCTACTGCTACTATCTGTGAAGAAAGACTAACCTGGCCAAATAGAACTTTAAAAAAAATTTCTCCCCTGCTGCCATATATCTATTCATGACTTCCTTCTTGGAGTTTAGTAGTAAATATAAATCACAGTTGTGTACGTAACTTGATTTTAAATTCATGGTTCAGTTAATTTTTGAAACAGCAAGGGAAAAAATGCTTGTCTTTTATGAACTATTGCAAACATCACCGGTTTATAATTTATAAACAAAGCCGAAGTGTTCCCAAACAGGAGACCTTAATGATAAGGGAGGGTCTTCTAGCTCTGCTTCTCGTTTGTATTGGCCATGACGTTCTTAGCCAGAGGCTTGGCTAAGCTAAGCTAAGCGCAGCAGTCTACCACTTAACATGTTCATACAAGAAATCAGATCTGAACAAATGTTCTGCATGCAAAACAAACCTCATGTTAACTATTATTAACGACTGGACCTTTACCGTTACATCTCAGTGTTAGCCCACAGTCATCTTCCGATGACCTGTATGACTTATATGAAAAACCAACCAGGGAAACATAAGAGAGGTTACTCAGCCACTAAGTGAAATTTCTTTCACTCTTGCCTTTAATTTAAAAACTGATGAAATGTTACAATCATGTTTGCTATTTATATGCCACTAATTTGCAATGTCAAGAAAATATCAGCAAAATTATAAGATATTTGTTTTACAGTATAAACTGATCAGCCATAACAGTTTGACCACTGACAGGTGTAGTGAAAAACATGGATTATCTCATTACAGTGGCACCTGTAGGAAGTAAGGAAAGACAAACACTGAACCAGTGACAGGGTCATGGATGCCCGAAGTTGACCCACTGTAGATTAAACTTTTAAAGTTCATTCATCCTTATCACAAGATTTCTTTTTGTTTGAATCTTTGTTAAAATGGGTCAAAATGAGAAATACTGTCCATTGGTCTCTATGAAGAGAAAGAGTCAGGGGCTGTAGTGGTGATATCACACCTAGAGTGGTGAGGCTGATGAATTTGTCTAAAAGATTCTCTCTAACTCGTCCTCACAACCACAGTTTTCACTCCTTTTACACAAGGTTTTCACTGAATTGTAGACACATCTGTTCCTGACAGTAGAACTGTGGAAGCAAATGGATTCACAGAAGATGCTCAGTGAGCTGCAGAGTGACACGAGTGCCAACCAACTGCCACACTGACTCCTATGTAAACAGTATTAGGCAGGTGGTCATAATGTTATGGCTGATCAGAATATTTATATTTTCTCACCTGGAGTGCACTAACAAACACAGCCATGAGATCTGCTGGGATCACAACCTTCTGTGTAGAACTCCTCTGATCAGACAAGATTAATACCCAGGTGGCAGTTACATTTCTTACATTTTCTCAGAGTTTTCTTGAATACTTTATCTTATTTTACAGCAAATAACAGCAATCTATCATTATACTTCCATTCTAAATACCAAACCTGTTTATAGTGTTGATTCATCACCTTTGTAACATAAGCTGAAAGAAGGTATTCATTCTGTTTATCACTTGATGAAGAAATACCAGGGAGATGAATGATAATTTGTTGCAGCAACCTCTCTGCTGCGTCTTCAAACAACTTTGCACCAAACTGTTGACAGAGATAAACCACGGCAGTACATGTGTATGTGTACACATCTCACCTGTAAAACAATGCCCCCACACACTGTTATTAACAACACCAAATCAATATGCAATGCTCTCCAGCACTCTAAAATCTACCTAAGAGCTCCAATAATCAATTTTTAAATGAACTACTGCCTTTAGCTTCATTTCCTTACCAATGTCTGCATAATTCATCATAATTGACGGTGGCAGTTGATTTTAATCAGGCCATTTCTGAAGAAAACAGGTAGAGGGCTTGGGGGTGGGGGGTGGGGGGTTAATAACCCAAACGATGTTCCTACATTGCTTTGCCTCAGATGGAAATCTTCAGGGAGACAAATAAGGAAACAGTGACAGGGGCCATCTATAAAGTGATGAATATTTAAGATGCCATTTTAATAAGTAATATGCCACATAAAGTAGTGTTTCTTATGGCCTCCCGGTTGTCATTATATATTCAAATGCTGGTGTGGTTTTGTGTGTGTGTGTGTGTGTGTGTGCCATCAGCATCTCTTCAATATTAACACCTCTGCAGATGGATTTCTGATTGCCTGGCTAAATGTGTGTATCCCCTGCTTCTAAATTATTATTGTGATTATCATTATTAATGGCTTTTTTGTTTGCAGTCAATTTCCATCCCACTCTCTGAACATGGCAGACATGCGTGTATCTCGCTAACATTAGTTCCCTCCTGCCTTCATGTTTTAGTTCTCTCTCTTGTTTCTCTCTCCATCCGAGAGGCGCTGGCTCCATGGATGCAGAATTTATTGAATCTCACTGTGAACTATGGGAGCCATAATATAAACCTTTCAGTAATGTATTCTATATGTAAATGGGGGGAGAGGGACGGCAGCACCAACTCTTCATTACTCAGAGTATGTGCAGTGCAGTGTGTGTGTGGTGACGTGCAGATGTCAGCCAGAAAACTCTGGTTGCAGAACTCACTACCATGGGGTTTATCTGGCTGTTAATCAGCTGATCATCACTGCACTGTGGCCTGGTCTGGGGCTAGGAAAATTCAAGAGTCAGGATTAATAAACAGAAGTAACAGAGCTTAGAAAGATCGCAGCATAAATAAATACATTTTTAGTTAGCCATGAAAGAAAAAGAAAAGTACAGATTTCACAAAGCATGTGCTTCATTTGCTAGCATTAAAAGAATTCAAGGGACAGTACAAGGCCTGAGAGTCCTCTGGGTGCTTGTCTAGTGATACACTGCTGTGTGGATGAAACATTGTATTCTATGATACACATATGATTAAGATTTGATTACATGCACCAGTTGGCAAACTGAGAAAATACAGTCACACGCAGTAGACAGGTTGCTCGTATTATTCACAAAACTACTAATCCTACTTTGCTTTGCATCAAAATACAAAACGCTCAAGACAAAAGCATCTTCAACTCTGTCTCCTGCAGAATCTGTTTACATACTCCTCTATGCTTCGCTGTTTAAACATGTTTTGGAAGAATGGAAACTAGATTATGTTCATTGACTGTATTTGTGCTCCAATTCAGTAAGTGTGGCCTTCTTTGAGCACAGAAGTGATCAGCCAGGGTGGATAGCTGTGTATCCAAAGAGCAGGACTTTAAAGAAAAGATCAAAGTTCACATCCTGAGTCCAGTGTGTGGTTTAAATTGATGTATCCAAAGTACTGTGGTTATCAGAATCCGCGTTATTGGCCAGATGTGTCGGACACACAAGGAGATTGACTTTGGTACGATGGCTCTCAATGTGCATGTACATATATATCCTCATGCAAGGGGCAAGTAAAGAGTAAACCAATAAGGCTAGTATAACATAATAAGCAGTATTAACAGCAACAACCAGTGCAAACAATGCAAAATAAGCAGTATAAACAGACAGTAAACAATGCAGACAGACAAAGGAATGCTCACTGTGAAATAAGATAAACAGAAATAAAACAGAGTACTTAAAAAAATAGAGACCTGTACAAATCTGTATAATGTATATTTACAGGTATTGCACTGAGGGTTAATGTCCATGTTATGATTGCACGCTACCAGAGGTAGCGTGACAGAAAAGGCGGACTCAGATGGCTGACTTCAGTTCAAGCAGGTCATTTATTTCCAGTGCTATACAAGGTAACGAGTGCTAGTACGTAGACAAACAATACTGAATAGATATAGGAGGAGAGGGAGACAGGTGCTGACAGCAGGAGGGTAAGTTCAGGGTTGTTGCTGGGCTGAGCTGCGGAGCAAGAAGATCGCTCACTGGCTGGTTATGCTGAGCAGGTAGGGACAGAAGAGACAGGAGAAGATTCATCACCTTTGTAACATAAGCTGAAAGAAGGTATTCATTCTGTTTATCACTTGATGAAGAAATACCAGGGAGATGAATGATAATTTGTTGCAGCAACCTCTCTGCTGCGTCTTCAAACAACTTTGCACCAAACTGTTGACAGAGATAAACCACGGCAGTACATGTGTATGTGTACACATCTCACCTGTAAAACAATGCCCCCACACACTGTTATTAACAACACCAAATCAATATGCAATGCTCTCCAGCACTCTAAAATCTACCTAAGAGCTCCAATAATCAATTTTTAAATGAACTACTGCCTTTAGCTTCATTTCCTTACCAATGTCTGCATAATTCATCATAATTGACGGTGGCAGTTGATTTTAATCAGGCCATTTCTGAAGAAAACAGGTAGAGGGCTTGGGGGTGGGGGGTGGGGGGTTAATAACCCAAACGATGTTCCTACATTGCTTTGCCTCAGATGGAAATCTTCAGGGAGACAAATAAGGAAACAGTGACAGGGGCCATCTATAAAGTGATGAATATTTAAGGAGAAGGCAGAAGGTGACAATGGGCAGGAGGGAATGGAGAAGAGTGCACCGACCTGGCTGGTGAGAGGTAGTCTGGAGTGGAATGGTGTAGGTCCGCAGGTAACAGTTCCGTGTGCACAGTATAAGTCCAGAAAACATGGGTGAAGGTAGGAGAGGACAAGGAGAAGAAGTAGTAGACGCAGGGGTGTTATAATAAATAAGTAAGTAAGTAAGTAAGTAAGTAAGTAACAATAAGGCAGGTAACGAAACAGTTTCGGGGGACAAAAGGGTGGCATGAGCTGTTTGTATGGAAACAGGAACAAACCAGCAGAGGGCAGGTAGAAAGGCAGGGTAAATATAGCAGGTCTGGTGATTGCAGGACTGAACACAGGTGGTGATAATGAGAATAGCTGGCAGGTGTGTGGAAGAGAGAGGAGAGAGGCAGGTGAAACCGAATTTTGACTTAATATTAAAAATTAATTACTTAATTAATTAATTATTAATACTTACAAAAAAGCTGCATTAACTAACTTCTCCCTCTAATAGTCGACTGTTAAGGGAAAAGTGAGAGTCAAAACACGGTCAAGCAGATTCCCCTCCTATTCTCCCTCCTGCCCTGTCTCTGAAATTACGTCATATGTGGTCATGACAGCTGGAGACAGTTAGCAGTCAGGTAGCACAGCAATAATAACCAGCACTAATGCATACAGAATATAGAGCCCAAAGAACTTGTGGTTTTCGGTGGTATTGCCACAACACAATGTCAAATAAAGAGGTTTATATTTTATTGATGTGCATACGTATGTCTAACATTGTTTGTAGTGGATGTGTCTGCAGTAACACAAGTAAATTATACAGAGGGATTTCCCCCCCCCCAGTAATATTGATACAGTACTAATGTTTTGGCCACTATCACATTGCGTTCAGTGTTAAATACTTGACAAACATAACTGTGAGTTGTATGTGAACCAAGAGAAATTTCATGTTATACATTAATAGCTGACAAATTTTAACAGCTTCTCACTAAAATGCTACATGAACTGCAGTGTTATGTCCATAAACTGGACCAAAACTGAGCAGAAATGAGCAAAATTACTTCATTTGCTAATCCAGGAAAGCACACTATTTTCCACTAATTGGACACCAAAACACTAATGTTGCAGTCAGTTGGAATGAATCGAAATTACAACCAGAATAATTCAGTACAAAGGTACAAAACTGTGATGCTAATGTTAACTTGCTAATGATGCCCACATATACACGCCAGCTACCATACTTAGGCGTCTAGCAGGGAGAAATACACATCCACGTCAAATTTTTGTCGTTTGGATGCTTTTAATGCTCTCCATCTCTGACATGCCAAACTGATGTTAGCCAGGTCATTTTTTTCCTAAGTTGCCTAAAGATAACATAAATCATGTGCCTCAGTTGCAGGAGCGAATATTTTAGGGAAAACAAATAAAAATGTTGACAGTGAACATTTTACTGAATTTTGCAGTTTGTGAATACATTCAATATAAAAACTCTGTGTTTCCTACTAAACGTATTATACACAGTATGAATCTGTATTTTCAGTGAAGAAGGTAAATGATTAAGCATATTTAGAATGTTTTCTCATGAGCTGTTGAACATGTATGTATTATTGTAGATGCCAGTAACTCTTGACCTCTGTTCTTATGGCATATACAGATCAACAGTTGAGAGGTGCTGCTGATCTGCAGGCAAGTCTGTCCTTTACCCACAGAGCAGACAGATATATGTTGCATGGGACACCGCTAACCATCAGCCCTTCTTAGCATGTCACTACATACAACAAACACTTTCCTCAGTTGCTCCGCAGAAACAGAACCTGCAAACACTCACAGATGCACACAGCCTCTACCAGAATGAGCAAGTGAGGCTGGCAGCCAAAGCAGGCTTGGCACGGGGCCTAATGATGCCCGGCATGCGTCTGCTCTCGACAACAGCGAGGTAACACCTGCCAACTTTTACTAAGGTGTAAATGTCTCTATTAGTGAGCGGCTGGTCCTGTGTGTATGGCGCTCAGATCAGAGGAGGGACTCTGGGCACTCTGGTTGCTGTTCAGAACCTGGTAATCGTTGGGTCCAGTGGGCCTGTTCACTCTCTTTTTCTACTCTTGTATGCAATCTTTTTACATTATGAAAGAACAGCTGTAAATGTGAAAATGGAGCTGTGTACAAGAATGGAAATATCAAAATGCCGTCAGCTCAAGGTGTGGTGCTTCTGCTCAGAGCTTGCAGCCTTGCCACAACAATGTAACTGTTTTACAAAAATCCTGCAAAGACTGGATTTTTCTGGGCCTTCTTGCACTTGCTGCCACAATTTCACATTAAACACTGGTGTCAAAAAGCTTATCAACTGTCCTCTCTTAAACTCTGGGCCACAACTCCTCCCTGCACTGCCCTTTGGCTGGCCTGGAAAGGCAACACACTGAATGTGATATTGATGGCATCTGGATGGGAAATTACTTTTCATCTCAACACAAATAAATATCCCACTGGTTTACAGTGCAACTATATTTTTTAAATTGTGTATTGCTTAGTCATGACTTTTATTTACTTTCTGGCCAAGTTCACAATGGAGATAGAAAATAGATTTTTCAGGATAGATCACAGACCAGTTTGCACTTTTTATTTCATCTGTCTGAAACCCAAATGTACCATATCATACAGCCCCTCAAGGGCTGCATGGAACATACACATTACTCTAAATGGTTTTTAAATCCTGATCTTAAAATTAGCTTTGCAGCCAAAGTAAAGCCAGTGTTTAAACAAGACCTATGTGACGACTCTCCTCAGGACAGTGAAGGGACCTTACTTTTGTTCTTGTGTGTCCGAGCGAGGTTTATTTTCCTCTAGTCATAATCCCTGCTTTGTTTTTACAGCAGCCATTGCATTTGCATTCACATTCATAACACCTCCCCAGATATCATACCCACAGGACATATTGTGGGCCAGAGTTTGGTACATTATACACACTGCCGATACCAGTGAATAACATACTATGTGAATAACAGATACTACGAATAACATAATCTGTGCTGGAAACAGAAGGTATTTGCATATTTTGCCAAATGCTCTTGTTACATGTCATTATCCAACACTGAAACCTACGTATATTCCTCTGAGACATAAATATGTGCACAAACTTGAGTAATATCATTTGTAACACCATAGGATTAAGTGGGGCCTCTTACAGTACTTTCAAGAACTGCCAAAATAATGCTAATGGGTAAAAGACATCTAATCAGGGGTTGGCTTCTCTTCACAGGTTCGTGACTGTCAAGTAAGTCACTTTCCAGCAGCCAGTTCACAAGCCTGTGAACCCCCACACCAGCCAATATAGATTGATTTCAGACCCAGACACAATCATTGTTAACATGTATGTTAGCATTTAAATGAAAGTGCCTGTGAAAAGGTTATTTGTTCATGGGGCCTGACCCGATTAGTGATGTCACTATTTATTCAAAATTCAAAGTTTCTTTGCAATGTAGAGAAAAAAATGTAATATTCAAAGCACAATGTCCTGTCTGGGTTTAAAAAAAAAGCTCTGTAGGCACAACAAACCAGTTAGTTTGCTTTGCGGTCTGTCGGAGGTTCAGCCATATTGCATGCCCTACTGACCTATCAGTAAGCTTAGATAATAAATGAAAGGACCAACTGTGGATGTGATGTATATGATGTGAAAGAAATTCACAAGGTGTAATAAAAATCTAAAGTGCTGCCATTTGTTATTTGAAAGCATGTGCTCAGCTCTAGTCAGTGCACCTGACTTTTTCTGCTGTCAGTAACATGAATGCTGGTGATATGTGTAGGTTATTTTTTTCATCACGGCTCACTGTGTTATTTTTTTGCGCCCTTGCATAAATATTGTATTGGATTTGGTGTCATATCAGCAGTTCTCAATGTGATCTACGTAGTGACACATCTTCTGAAAGTGGATTCAGGTCAGTAGGCTCTCATCTCATCAGACCCTCTCATGACACCATTTCCATGAAAAAGAATTTAGAAATCAAATTACTAATGAAAATAGAAACAGGCCTAAATTTCTAAGTAGTGAGCTTTTTTATTTTAGCTTGATAAGACTCAGCAGTAAAATGGTCACATTATTTTAGCTCCAATCAGATGAGAAACACTACTGTTGCAGCAGAGCTTCAGCAGGTTGGCTGAAGCAGTTTTACAGTACTGTAAGTGACTTTCAGTTAAACCTGGTGCATTCATGTTTGTGCATGTGCTCCCTTAGAGCAAGCTGTGATTGTCAGCAGTAACAGAGGGATTTTATATTAATATGTGGTTGCTTTTCTGTATTCTTTCAACATTTTGCATCTGTCTAGCTCACCCATTGGCAACATGGGCAGATAGGTTCCAGATAGTCCCTGGTCAGAAGGAGGAGAGGTAGGAGTTTACACTGAGGGTTTTAAACTATTGTTTTTTTCTCCCCCTTTTTCAATTTTGGTTACTTTGTTGAATTTTATTGAATTTCCAGGGTTCATTTTGGATTCTGTTTCATTCAATATTTTTGTAAAATAAATGACAACTTTTTTAATAATGATCTTTATTTGGCCAAGTATGTTACACACAAGGAATTTCTTTCTGGTACAGAACCGATGGCAGCCATCTGCGGCACCAACTCAGCCGATGGCTCTAACCATGGGGGGCAACTTGGCGGTTCAGTGTCTTGCCCAGAGACACGTGGACTGCTGGCACCAAGATTCAAACCTCCTACCCTCCAGTTGAGAGATGACTGCTCTACCCACTGAACCATCGATCAGCTTCTTGAACAGCTCCTTTAAAGTTTTCCAGTGCTACATAATATGAATTTACATCTACATCTATTACTCATATAGCAAGGTGGCACTCCAGCATTGCTGTTCCTCATAACAGCCTCACAGAACCATTAGTGTGGCTGCAGGAAACGGGCCTTTTAAGGCTTGATACATGTCAACAGTGACAATATATGATGTAGTTTTTTACATTGCATGCACTACAGTATGTGAAGGGGTGAGGAGGTGGGTAAGAAAGATTTGAAAGATCTAAATGCACATATACACACCTTTAATAACACAAAGGTCAAATTTCAAACAAACAATTTTGTCAGTACCTGCCAGTAACTTGTGCTATTCATGCACATTTTATCCATGACACCAGCTTTCATCTCTGATCAAAGTAACATTGCTCCACTTGAGCTGCTCTAAGCTGTTGATGTACAGCGTGATGACCTTTAGAGGTCACAGATGGAGCTCCTGTCAGTCAGCTCGTAGACTGGTGCTGAGTTGGGGCAGGTTGGGCTTCAGT